TTAATAGGTTCTTTTACATGACTTTGTCTATTGTGCTAATGTGACCTTCATTCAGTAGGCAAGAACCTGTCAATTGTACCCCCTAGTGCAACTAGTGCAACTTTTCCACAACCTGCTCCATCTAAAGGTAGGCAATGAAGCTTTTTAAAAGATGCCTGCTAAACTAATTTAAAATATGGTAGATCTGTATGTTCTACTGTACTTATCTAGTTTGTCTTGTTAATCTAATAAGTGCTTCGCTCTCTCCTTTTAACATTAACAGTTGAGAAGTGCAAAACTGTTCGCAATCCCTCCCCAACGACTGCTTTAATTGCAGAGAGAGAAAATGTGACAGTAAGAAAACATAGAGGTAAATGTTATATGTATCAAGTTTAATATCTATCATTTCAGTTTCTCACACGAAATTCATAACAAAAGTTTCTATTGTTTTATATTTGCTAGCACCAAAAGTACCCCAGTCCACAGACAGACCAAAAGCAATTCATGATATCCCTCATTGCTACTGCAACCTGAAAGCAGTGATGTAAGTGCTGCTTCATATGATATTTTCCATGAATTTTGGAGTGCAGGAAATTGTTACTCTATTTTTTTTTCAGGAATAAATCTTATGATCAGGATGGTGGAGTATTTTTTACTTGTCCCGAAAAGGATTCTACCAAGAGCTGTCAATATTACAAGTGGGATGGTAGTATGTCTATGTTTCTTGAAGCTGAAACCAGCGCCAATCCAAGTGGTGAGGGCACATATTTTAAATTCTCAATATATTTAAGGAAATCAAATATGTTTAAAGTCAAACATTTCTCTCTTTCAATACAGCCGTTAATGAGGAATTCCTCTTATTTGAAATCTTTCTTTTCCAGAAAACTCTTGTTTCCTTTGTAAACAGCAAGGTCTGCCAACTGAAGACTCAGCCCATAAATGTGCAATCTGCAACAAGCCAGTCCATGCTTTTGGCTGCTCTGTTGAGATCCCAGGTGGAGAGGAGGGCTATGGTGGATCTGATCGCCAGTGCCTTTCTTGTGCCAAGGGTGAGATCTTTTACTTTGCTGGTTTCATCTTTGTTGGTGCATTGCAATACTTTTTGTTGCACTGTAAGTTAATTTTGGGAGGGGTGGGGAGGGGGAAGGGAATTAACAGTTTTTTTTTTGTTTTGTTTAGGTATTATAAATCCTCTAAAGGATTCCATCAGTCCTTTTAAGGACTCAGACTGTCCTTTTGAGGACAAAAAGTCCATTTGTGGACTAACATAATTTTGGTGAGTTACTGCAGCAGTGGTACTGATATATTCATTACCTTCTGGCTGCTTATTTGTTACTTATAGAACATATATGTGATGCATTGTTTTATAAAACAGTAGGTGATAGTGTGCGTGCTGTCTTCAAAGGTTTCTTACTTTCTTTACTTTATTGACTGTCTAGCTCAAGCGCCATGCATGAAAATGATTCCTTCAACATTTATATTTTTGACACAGTTTGGAAATAATAATCTTTCACTCTGACACCTTTCTAAAGCTTTAATAAGAAATTTCAATTTCTGTATCATAGCTATATCAATTTATTTTTTTTAACAGGTGATTCTCATTCAACATCCCACCACACATCAATTACAATTGGCAAAAATGAATCAACTGTAAGTAATTTTTGTTTTGTATCCTGTTACCTGATAAATTGTCTGATATGCTTATTGTTTAATTCTACTTGTTTAGAAGCAACTTGTTGATTATGATTCGTCAGCAAGCGAGGACACTGAAAATAGTGTGCCATCTGTAAAGGCCACCTTTGATGTTACTCCTAGAAAGAGGAATTCCTCTTCCTTGCTGTTGAGCACAAGTAAATATATTTTTAGTATAACTACTTGTGTGAAATATAATCATTATACATGCATTACATTACAAAATCATGCTTCTTTTCAGCACCCTTTAAAAGAAAGTTTAGTGACAACATTTCTGAAAGCTGTAAGTGACTTGATTCATTAAGCATTTACAGGTTACATTGAAGTCTGTTAATTTTAACATTTATTTTGATAGGTCATGACAGTCCAACTAAAAGACCAATGATAAAATCTCCTCAAAAGTATTACACCCCTAAATGTTTGTGCGCACTTATTGCAAAAAGGTACTGAACTGAAAACTTCTCGTAGCATGTAGCTGGAAAATTGTTCCTAACTGTGTTCTTTGAACTGTTGCAGGTCAAGCTCGTACAAGAATGCTGGTAGGGAATTCTTTGAGTGTCCAAGAGGAAAATCAATTGGTTGCACATACTTCAGATGGGCTGACACTCTCTACAACATAGCTCCAAGATGTAATATTGGTAAATCCAGTTTTATTTTTCTTACTATTTTTCTTTTATGGAATAAGCTGTGTGGCATATGAAATTATTCGTTCCTTTCTTGTAGATTCCAGTCTTGTCAATGCAAGCAGTTCATTGGACAAAGACAACTTGTTGAACGATAGTGATGAAGTGTTTTCTGATCCGTCACTCAACCTTATTCCATCTCTCTTCGATGCACCTAATGCTCAAGCCCCATTAGAAGACGGTATGTCCTAGAGAATCTAATCTTATAGTCTTTGTATTTTAATATCCATTTAATAATACTCCCCTTGTTCTGCTTTCTAGAAATCTTGGGTGATATTAACAAAACAGTAAGTTTTCGATGTGTTACACATTACACATTATTACCTCTTAAATTTATATCCAAGTGTTTTAACAGCGGTTTCTGCTGTCTTTTTTATTTTATAGGAACCAGAGAAAATTGGTGGCCGGCCTGTCCGTTCTCGCTTGCTTCCCAAACGTCTTCGAAAATCATACCTCATTGATGAGACTCCTTGAATAAATTAAAATTGTGACATGATTTATTCCATTATTTTTTTAACACACCTTTTCACATTACATTATATAATGGATCTGATGACTGGTTTGGAAGACATCACATTTTGAAGAGATTACCGATGCTATGTTTCATTTATACTGACAAATGCATTGAACACACTACTAATTTTTCTGTTTTGTCTAGTACAACACGATTCACTGTATCTTGCAATACAAAATGTGCAAAGAATTGTTTTAGAACTACTTGGATAGAAATTTTTGAACTGGTTTATGAGCTATTATGAAGGAGAACAAAGTACAATGTATTTTTTTAATTACTTTATAATTTTATTGCAACAAACATACATGAAAAGACAACAAAAATTTTATCATCCCCTGGTAAAGCCCCGTCTACAATGAGTTGGAGTAAGGAAGTAGGAGTAGGGAGTAATTTCTGAGTTACTCCACTCAGTCTACAACGACCCCTGAGAGTAGCAGCTTTGGCTTTGGTGTTTATAAAGATTTTGGGAATTTACATTGGAGAAAACGGTTTCCTTAGATGATTAGTGATCAAAACTTACAGAATTAGTTATTATCCCTACCCAAAGTTGACAAAAATATTTACTCCTATCTTCAGTTTCAAAGATGGAACCCTGAATGTACTGGCCTTTCTAAATAGCTGCTAGAGCTACCTAGAGTACTTGACGATCACGCATTTCGACCCCCCCCCCCCTCTCTCCAAACGGACAATTGGGTTATAATGTGAAATGTAGATGAAATTTGGTTCCTAACTGCGAATAATTTTTAAAAACTTGTGTGCAGTTAAGCCAACTGCAAATAAGATCCATGCTGTAGTTTGCAGTTAGACCCTTAACTGCAAATAACAAGCCACCACTAATTTGCAGTTGCAACTGCAAATAACATTGGTCTAAATTTTTTGTTTACTTGTTCCCTTTGCTACAC